AAACAGGGCAGGATTTGGTAGTGCCATGACTTAATTTCAGTCTCTGGAGACAGCAGGCAAGGCTGAACATCTCACTTTCTGGGTTCTACCTTATCAGCAGCACTCCTCAGAGATAACTCCTATAGTCACCATCTGCCAGCTTGTAGGAGCAGGGCAGCCCAGAGCCAGGAAGGGATGAGTCCTCTGCATGTGCCTTTCACCTTGCCTGGGATGGGAACAGTAGGGAATTGCCACAAGTTCGCACCAAGAAAATCATCTGGACCAACAGGGTGTCCGTAGTGTGTCCCGGTGACCAGAACTGAGCTGTTTCTGTCTTGTCAGCAACTGCCAGACTCTGGAGAAAAACCGCGGAGTGAAAACCTGACCAGAAACAGCAGTTCAAAGTTTTCCAAAAAACAGACAGCAGCACCTCCCCTCCTTCCTGCAAAGTGTCCAGCCAGCAGAGTCACCCACCAGCTGTGGTGGCTGTGCCCGTGCTCGGCCTGGAAGCCTCATCTATTTATTTATTTATCATTTATTCGGTTTATTGTCTGTCATTTATTTATGACAGACCCATCTCTCTGTCACCTGTGCTGGCCAGCAGTGGTTTGGAGAGTTGTGCAGGATCCTGCCTGCAGGTCCCTGCATGTGGCAGGAGACACCCACGGCACAAGRTTTCAGGACCTCCAATCCAAAGAAAATAAAAACGCTGACGATCCGGGCGGATTAAAACTCAGCGGGATTAATTTGCATCCCCTCCTTTTTAACAGAGAGATAAATATGCTGGAGGGATCAGGCACWGCTCTCTAACCCAAACTGACGTCAGCTGAGCAGCTTGTGGGTGGCAAAGCTGGGCTCAGAGYGTCAGATCCTCACTGCCACCAGCAYTGGCACCAGGATCAGCCAYACTCARCAAGACACCGAGCCCAGCTCTMTGCAAAGAYATTCCCAGATATCCACAGAGGGAAAGGGAAGGATTCACTTGGGGAGCATGGGAATCAATCTGTCATTAGGTTGCCTAACAGGAGGTTGGTAAAAGTGCGGGGTTGGCACACAGGGCTGGAGGCTGTCCCAGCCGTTTGTGACACAATGCTGAGGATGATGAGGGTGGATCACACCCGGGTTTGAGGCTGCACTTTCAAAACTCARGAAGTGTGAAAAACACAAAAAGTGYSCAAACAASAYWYTYCAGGGGCCTTTTTCCAGTGGAGCAAAGCCCAGCTCATGCTGTTCCCTCCACAGAACTGCAAGGACCGTGAGTGCTCAGCACTATTTTATATTGCTTCCCAATCTTTTWCCAAAGATCTGTTGTCTTATGGGCCAGTTTTAATTATGACACAGACATGKTTAAAGGGATAAAAGGGTTTTACCTCGGTGTTTAATGGGATCCCAGGTGCCCAACTTGATGGAAAATGCACACTGTGTACAACACGTATACAAGTTTTATACGCTTCACAAACTAACATATTTATTTAGAATTCCCCAGTAAGAAACTTAAAAAAATGAAGTAATGTCCCCCTATCCTAAAGAATCCCCTCCTGGATGAGGCCAGAGCTCAGTTTACACAATGTGTTTCAGAGAGGAGGCTTCACCCAAGGTTGGAGCCTCAAATTTGAGATAGCACAGAGCACGCTGACCTCTTACTGAGGATGTTTGGTCTCTGCTCAGCAGAACCCCAAAACTAAGCTGGAATATCAGGCTACAGGAATTACAAGCATGTAGGCTAAGGGTACAGGCATACATAAAGGGTACAGAAAAAGGAAAGGCAAAAATCATCAGGCATCATTCCCCTCCAGCTGAGATGGGACCATCCGGGTGCCAGGCATGATGGAAAACAGCACCAGAAAAACCTTCCTGGACGGGAATTTGGGATTTTTGGTTTTCCTGGGTGCCCACTGTACCCTCCTGACCTCAGGGGATGATTTGGGAGCTCTTGACTCATTTATATCCACACCTCCTGGGTCCTGCCACGTGCCACGTGTCTCATCTGCAAATGTCTCCYGCTGCTGGCAGCTGATTTATTTCCATTCCAGCCAGGATTTGGGTCACGGCTTTGTTTCGGGGTTTTAAAAGGGAAAGAAAGTGTTTAGGCACAGCAAAAGGAGACAAAGCAATGAAGGAAAAGCCCTTTTGTCTCCATGGCAAAATACCTAGTGAAGCTGCGTTTTTAAATTCTTTTCTTGGCTTTGGG